AGGGGTACCTCAGGGGTGGTTCCACAATAATTTGGTAAAAATATGGTGATGGTATATATGAAAAAAATCAGCAAACTCAATTTGTAATGGCATTTGCACGATTTTGAAGTAGGTTTTTAAAATTACTTTTATTGCTGTAATGGTTGACAAAAAAACTGTACAATGTTCTGTACCAAAATACAGGGGTCGGCCTAAGTCTGGCAACGCTCGAAAAATCGGCATAAGTCTGGCCAAAGTTATCTGGAAATGCATGCTCAAAGATTTACGTGGGAAAATGGACAACGATCCAACACTCGCGAACATCCGTCATTTCATGCAGGATGAAGCTTCGCCGCACTAAGCGTTATGTGTGCGGGAGTTCCTTAATGATAATTTTGTAGAATGGATAGGCAGACGAGGAATCTTTGAGTGGCCCGCACGGTCCTGTGACCTGACACCCTGCGATTTCTTCATGTGAGGCCTTCTCAAGGACCGCGTTTTTGCAAGAGGACCACGCACCCTTCCCGAGCTCCGAATTGAAGAAGAATTTGAAAATCTTCGCGGACACCTTAACATGCTTCGCCTGACCTGTCTCTCCATTGCGAAACGGTGCCGTCAATGCATTGATCAAGGTAGGCATCAATTTGAACACCTAAACTAACCCTTTTTCGAATCTCTTTTATAATTTCTTCGAATAAATTAATTTTGACGCTGCATTTTTTTTATGCAAATTTGTTGCCTGACTTATGCCGACCCCTGTATGTTATTTTGAAGCATTGGTTAAAATTATTTTTTTGTTAACGAAATCTATTGGCTATTAGAGAAGATAATGCAACTTAGATATTTACACAAGAAATTAAATTTTCATAGTCAATCCAGATAAAAAAAAATTGTTCATTTATTTTAATGTACCCCGAATAAATAGAATGACGACACTCCTGAAGAGCAACAAACGCATCTGATGACCAAAAATTCAAAGCATGTTAAAGATAACACCTGAGACCGAAATTCCAATTCGGTAGCATTATCTAGAATGTGTATCATTACCAATACACAGTTCAGAGAGACAGGCGACATCTATTAAAAAAGGGTATCCACCTCTCAGATGAAGTACGGATACCGTATGACAAAGTGGACCTGTTTGATTGCGTTATTCAATTGTCTAAATTTCGTTGATAAGACATTAGTCGCCGGATCGTTGAGGAATTAGTATATGTGTTACTTGCATCGAATGTCAAAGATGCATCCGAAGCGGAGCAACGAAGATTTGAGATTTTCGATTAAATTGTTTTAGGCGCCGTTATTTTTAAAACGATTTTTCCATCTACGGAAAATGGGTTAATTCGTTTTTTTTTGCCCACACGACTTCTAAATTAATTCAAACATTGTCACTATGGAGTCTAAAACTGTATTTTGTATATATAATATATTTTTTTATTTACCGCTTCATCCTACTAGGGTCATTAACGGAGACATGGTATCGGAGTATTTTATCGTGGAATAAATATCAATGTCTTTAATTTGAGTATTTTGTTGCTGTTAGAGGGATTTAACACTGCACTAATGTCTCTTTTTAAGTAGTTCTATACTTTTATACGAAAATGTTTTTGGCACTCTACTAGAATATGTTTGATCAATAGTTTTGCATTACAACTATCACAGTTTGTCGCATATGAATTTGATATTCAATATCCATGTGTATGTCTAATCCTCAGCCGGGATATTAACCACCCTGTATATCGTCAAAATGATGTATTTGGAATTTTTAACAAATTGCTAATATTTTCTATGATTGTCATAATATTTATTACAAAATGAATCGATCTTATTTAAAAAGTCTTCTACATTCATTGCGGCAGTAACGCATATTTAGTGATCCTGAAGCAGACTCACGCATCATCAACAGAAAAAACTTTTTACAATATGATAGCCGAAAATATGTTACTAGCGAAAATGTTACCCGTTTTGGACAAGAAACCAAAAACTATGGTTCGCGCAAGTAGATGCTTATTTTGAGTTATACAAAATTCAACAAAATTGCTGATTCAGAAACAAAACAAATACGAAACGTGCTCACGAATATTGAATTCGAAGTTAGAAAACCTTTACAGCTGATCCGCGAGATGAAGAATTTAGCAACGGATCGAATTAGCGAAGTAGTATTATGTACGCTCTGGTTAAAAAGACTTCCTATTCGTGTCCAAATGATTTTATCAGCAAATGAGATGTTGATCTACAGAAAATGGCAGCAATCGCCAATAAAATTTGTCTTCTTTTACAACGAATGATCATTGCAGCACACTTAAAAACAAATGTCAGAATCTAACACAAGCATAAGAGAACTTCAGCTAGAGATTTCTCGTAGCAAGTGCCAAACCAATTTTAGGAGTCGTTCTCAGTCCCGAATTTTTAATAAGGCAACCAATTCAGACCTTTACTTCTATCAACAACGGTTTGGAAAGATGTAATAAAATCGCGTTAATTTGCAATAATAGTTATAATTAACGTATAATTACCTTTTGTAAACACTTATATGAAACATTGACTAGCTCTTAGATATTGTATACCATATGTTACTTACCTTTATTCAAGTCAGAAAATGAAAGAAGCACATAGACCATATGGTTTTCTCAGTCGTGAATTCAAGCTTTTCTGATAGGCACTTTTAGGGAAATAGTTTTCGGGAAAGAAAGGGCGCCAATATGTCTCTTTTTTTGTTTTTTTTTTAAATCTAGTTAAGAATTATAAACTCTAGCTTTATCACAAAAAGACAATTAATTCAAAACTATATAAAATTTATGTAACAAGTATTAGAAATTAAAAATTTACAAAAACCAACTTCAAAAACGTGCAGATGTTATCACCACATCTTAACCAAATTTATACGGGACCACCCCTGAGGTACCCCCTTACTAACAAAAAAAGAATCATATAAATCGGACAAGGTGGTTAAGAATTATCTCTAAACATACATATAAAATGAAGAGTGAGGATTTTCTCATGGACCCAATTATTAGATTTTGACCAAATTTATATGGGACCACCCCTGAAGTACCCCCTTTTTATCTATATTAATTTTAACCATTTTCTTAAATAGGATATTCAGATCAACTCATCATATGCGCCAGTTAAATCAATAAATAAACATAACATAAATTGATTTTTGGAGAAACATAATTGTATATCAATAACTAAATGACTTACATCATCTATTGTACCTTGCCCTCTACGAAATCCAAACTAAGCTCGAGGATTTACTTCTAATCTTAATTTAATCAATCTTTCGAAAGTCTTCGTCATACAAGATAGTAAGGAAATAGGACGGTAAGATGATGGTAGAAGAGGCTCCGTATGTTGTTTTATTATATTTTTAAGACAGTAAAAATACTCTTGTTTCATCCACCAATCATTAAAAGCCTATAACAGCAGATTTTTTGCACAAAGAGGGAGGTTATTGATTATTTTATAGGTGAAGCCGTCTAATCCCGGGGTAGTATTAGTATTATTTTTTAAAGCCAAGTCCAATTCAGCGACAGTAAATGGGTTTGATAAATAATTGTTCTTATTATGAAAAGTAAAGTGATCTAGTTTTTTTTTTCGATGAAACTGGAAACAGAAGGAGGAGCCAATTTGTTTAAAACCTCTTCAATCATTTCTTTGGATATAGGTGCTTTTCTTCGTTGATAATTTTTATTACTCATAGCTTTAATGTTTCGCCAAATGTCAGTTAAAGGCGTATTTTAATTTAAGTTATTTAAAAATTATATATAGCTATTTCGTTGTTTGGTTTTGAATAAACGTTTAGTTAGCGCAGCAACTTTTTGGTAAGTCAGATAGTTATTAAAATTTCCTACTTTTTGGAAATTTTTTAGTGACTCCGATCGTTTTTGATCATATCCGAACATTCCTCATTCCACCAAACTGGTCTAGGGGTAACGGGAGTAAAACACTTTTTTTATGCATAGTTTGAGAGGCTACATCAGAAATTAGTTCTAACAATGACTCGACTTTTCTTGTACAACTTATATTTATTGCGGGGATTTTATTTTTAATTTCAGTTTCTAGAGTTATCTTAAATGTATTCCAATCAGCGCGGGCATCATTCCATTTAGACCAGTCCAATTTGTCCACTAATAAATGTGAAGTGAGGAAAAGGTCGACTGCAAAGTGATTTCCATTTTGTTGACCTAGTAGGAGTACCGTCATTAAGGGTTACTGAATCTAAATGCTCAATAGCTTTAACTAAAATTTTCTCATTGCTATCATCTGGAATCGGACCCCACATATCATGATGACAATTGAAATCACCACAAACAAGTGTGGACAAATTGAACTGTTCAAATAAATTTATCCAATCAGAAGGATTAACTATCAGATTTGGAGTTCACTAATGTTTTAGCTTCTTTAAAAGAAGCGTTTTCTGTTACCATAACTTTTTTAATAGTATGCTGTTTATTATACATGGGACATGCTTTAGAAATTAAACTATGATCAATACTATCACACTGAGTACAATGTTTTCTATTTTCTAGGCAAGGATTTAAAGTACAATCTTCATCGCCGCAGTTTTGAGATTTTTTCTTGCCTTTGCACTGGTTTTTAGTATGGCCATGTCTTAAACAGTTGAAGCACAGGACTACGGGTTAAATCTACTGCTCTACTTGAAAATTAACTAAATTAATTATAACACAGTCAGGAATTTTGTTTCCTAAAAAGGTTACCACTATCGTTTGTGTATCTATATACTTTACATCTTTAGTAGTAGTATATAGATGGCATTTTCCCGGATATACTTAAAACGGCAATAATCAAATCATTGTTTAAAAAGGGTGACAAAAAAGAAATGACTAATTATAGGCCTATATCTTTAATTAGTACGATAGCAAAAATTCTAGAAAAGGTTATTAAAACTCGTCTAGTAGAATTTCTAGAAAAAAATAATTTATTGTCTAAAAATCAGTTTTGGTTTAGATCACAAAAATCTACTGAGGATGCTATTGTCTACTTGACAAATAATATCAATAAACTTATGGATGAAGGTAAGTATGTAATAGGTATATTTTTGGACTTAGCCAAAGCCTTCGATACTGTCAATCATAATAAATTGATTGACTGTACGGAGGATCTAGGAATAAGAGGAATAGCTCTGGCTCTATTTAAATCGTACTTAAATAATAGAATACAATTTGTGCAAATTGAAAGCGAGCTGAGTCAGGGGCAAAAAGTTATGACTGGAGTACCTTAAGGAACAGTTCTTGGTCCAGTCTTGTTCTTAATATATATTAATGCATTACTTACACATGGTTTCAATGCAAATATCTCATCATTTGCAGATGATACTGTTATTCTCTTTTCTGGTAATTCCTGGTCCGAGGTTAAGCAATTAGCTGAACACGACCTAAAAAATATAAAAAAAAGGTTCGATGAAATGACTCTTACATTAAATTTAGATAAAACTAAATTCTTAACATTCTCCTGTAACAAAAGTAATTGTTCAAATTTTCAATACTTATCTATACCTCTTGATAATGTAAAGTACACCATCAGAAATGTTAAATCAATTACTTATCTCGGTATTGAAATCGATCAGCACCTCAAATGGGATATACATGTAAATAAAATTATAAAAAAATTAATATCAATACTATTTACTTTTAAAAAAATGAGAAATATTCTTCAAACTAACGAACTAAAAGTTTTATATCATGCACTGGTTGAATCCCATCTACAGTATGGTATTTCGGACTGGGGAGGCATGTATACGTGTCACTCAAAAAATTTGGAAGTTATTCAAAAGTTTTTCTTAAAAATAATATATAAGAGAAATAAAACTTATCCGACAGAAAATCTTTTCCAAGAAACTAGTATATTTAGCTTGCGAAAATTATATTTTTATAGAATGCTGTGTCTTCAACAAAAGAATAAGCAACATTTAAAATCAATCTCCCACATTCATAATATAAGGCACAAAAAAAGTCAGAATTTGAAACCGCAAGAGCCACAAAATCAATTGGTCAAAAAGCATTTTACTTTATTGCACCACGTATTTTCTCAAAAATTCCTCATTTTATTAAAGTTTGAAATTATTTTTACTATAAAAAAAAAATTAAAAATTTGGTTTCAACAACTATCAGAAAATGATATTCAAAATATGTATACAATTTCTAAATAAAGCATTAATGTTGATTCAATCTAATTCCTTTTGATATTTTTTGTAAATATTTATGGATTGGAAAAAAATATTTGTGATTTAATTCTTACCTTTCTTTATTATCTGTTTTGTGTGTTTCCGAAAACCATTAAATTTTGAAAACATAAAATAATTAAATAATTGTAGTGATACTCTTTAATTTTGGTACTTATGTGAAAATAGTTGTTTTGTAAGTTACCTATATATGATAAAATGTTACTTAACAAATTTGTTTAAATAATAACAGAATATTTATCCCCACAAGTTCGCTTCGTGGGTAGTGTATTTTGTTTGTTTATTTATTTAATATTTTATATCTAGAATTATTAAACTATTTATTGTATTATATTCAAAAATAAAAAATTTAATTGTATTATATTTAAAAAATTTAATTGAAAACAATATTTGTACTACATTATAGATAAATAAACATTATTATTATTATTATTATTAGTATCTTGTCTTGTACTTTTCGTTTTATCCGCCTAACATCAACTACCTTAATATTTGATTCGATATAATTTTTTAAATAATCTGTATTAAAGAATGTGTCAACCATACGTATTACACCTTTTTTATGTGTATAGAATTGTGGAATATATAAGCTACTAATTTATTTTTGAGGACAACTTCATGATTTACTAGATAAATTGCTACATTGTATGTTTAATCCTATAGGTTTTATGTCCGTTAAAATTCAGGCACTTCCCGCAAAAAGTGGCCTATTCTAATCGGAAAAAGCCTCTTGATATTTTTTTTTGTGTTCTAAATAAACAAAATATGGCCCAATATCCGTTTTTTGATAAAGAATATTTAAATCAAATGTTTTCTGAATGTCTGCGTTGTTAGAATTATTATTTTCGGGCGGCGGATCGCCGCTCTGCTCGATATCCTTATTTGTTTAAGTAGAACGCCCCGAAGGAATCAGGATAATTCTAATGTTATTAAAAATTAAAAAAAATACATACTCTTTTTGTTTGTTTGTTTGTTTGTTTGTTTGTTTGTTTGTTTGTTTGTTTGTTTGTTTGTTTGTTTGTTTGTTTGTTTGTTTGTTTGTTTGTTTGTTTGTTTGTTTGTTTGTTTGTTTGTTTGTTTGTTTGTTTGTTTGTTTGTTTGTTTGTTTGTTTGTTTGTTTGTTTGTTTGTTTGTTTGTTTGTTTGTTTGTTTGTTTGTTTGTTTGTTTGTTTGTTTGTTTGTTTGTTTGTTTGTTTGTTTGTTTGTTTGTTTGTTTGTTCAGCAAACTTGATAACGACCGGTTCGTATACCTACGATGTCCGTCTCCTATCAAGTTAAGAACACAACTGTATATATCAGTATTATAAACTATTTCATTAATAAGATTTAATTAATAATAATTAAATTATTATTATATTATTATTTTTAATGTTAATTCAATTTTATAATATTTTTACGGGAGGAAATACATTTTTTTTACAAACATTTTTTGATTCATTTCGTATGCGCATTAGATATGTCGCGCGTGTGAAAAACCGTTCGGATAACGTAAATTCCGCGTAATTTTCTAAGATATTTTTATATAGTTTATAGCATCCTACACATTGTAACATCATACGTTTTACAATGTTTAGCGTAGGATAAATATCGGCGACTTTCCTTTACATCGCCGCAATTTCCAGAATGAGATCGGAAGATTCACACGCATAAAAGAAGTAATAAAATTTGGCATTAACGTTTCCACCGGCGATAAATAAAATAATTATCCTATCGAAGTAAATTCAAGCTTTTTCCAAATAAACGGAGCTGCGAACGCGTAGTAGACCATCGCAATGAAACGGAACGGTGGACGTCAATAGAGATCCAACTGGACGAATTATAATATTACTTCTATCTTCTGCACCTTGTTTCAGTTATATTAGGTTTGTTTCAACAAAAAATAAAAGAAACAAATGCCAATTAAGTCTAAAAAAAAACTAATGAAACACTGGTTGAATTAGGGTAGTAGTACTTATAACTAATTGGATAAAATTAAGTTTAATAAATCACAAGAGAAATAAATTCCCAATTACGGTTCCAAATTAACCTTTGGAAACTTGGGCACTATAAATCTAACTATTCTATTTCGTGTGCTTAATCAAAAAAGTCAAAATAAATGTATAAATTGTCCTCAAATTATAACTTCGTAACGGTTATAGATTGGAATTTCAAATACTATATTCTGCGGATAAGGGCGAGCTTCCTGTGGACCGGTTTGAGCAACGGAAATAAATTCCGTTAATAAACGGAGTGGAGATAGTGTTGTTCTGACTTGAAATAACGCAGATTTTTTAGAAATTTAGTCGACTGAATGAATTCTGTGAAACTCCCACAAATTTTCCGTTGTTTTCAATGCAAAAATAAAATGAAAATGAATCAATGATCGCCGACTATCCAAATAAGTGTTTATCAGATGCCCAGGAAAACGAACCTAAGCTCTCAGCCTCAAGAAGTAAAGATTGATTCCTACCTTGAATAACGATGCTAGTGGCGTCGGGACCGAAAACAGGAACTCTCACTAATTAATATTCGGCACTAAGTCGAGCAGTAATAACGACACGGCAGAAAAGGAGATCGAGCTCCATAGGGCTCTCAGATTTATATCTCACAATCGGAATTTTTTAGGATTACGAGTAGTTTAGAGTGAAAGATACCACCTTCAGTTTTAATGTTTACCTGGAGGAAATAAAATAATGCCCCTGTGACACCGGCCGAATATACCCAGATAATTTACCAGTGGCGGCTCGTGGGCACTAGCGGCAGTGGGACACACACTGGAAAGGAATCCCGGGATTCGTTTTTCCCTTAGGAAAACAAGTTCTCCGCTTAATGAAAATAAAAAATATATTTCAAAACAAATTAAATATTACAAAATTGAAGACTAACTGCTAGGTACCGCTGCAGTTGTATACTATTTCTTTTAGTTGAAGTCCATTCTTCTGGATTTTTGGCTAGCGAAGTGATCGATGGCCAGATAATTAAAATTTGGAATGGACCGAATAAGTTTTTTTCCGATGGATAACATGGCTAACGCGCACAATCTATCTTATCACATAGTGTTTCTTAAAAATGTTTAATACGTTTTAGTGTCGAAAAACATCTTTCACTCTCCACTGTGGTCTTGGGAATTGTACACAGGATAGTTAGCAGCTCCACAGATTCCGAAAATGTAATTGTCAAATTGTTCTCAAAAAACATTTGTAATAACGGTACGGCCCCATTGTGTTGCACAAAGTCATCTCGGGTGTAAAGTATGGACAGTTGAATTTTAAGCTGTTTACGTTTGGAAATAAACTACACACAGTTTTAACGTCCTTATTTGGAAAACAACCTCGGTAGTCTTTAAATTTATCACTATCAAATAAACTTGCAATTGTTAAGTGAGTAGTAAAACTAAAACGTTTATTTACCTGCACTACTATTGTATCACAAATTTCCTTACATATCCTTAAATTAGGAATGGGGTCCTCCTTTTCAACAAACCGTCTCTTCTTGCTTGTACTTGGACCTGATTGGGTGTTGTCGTTTAAGTTTAGTTCTTGTGGGTCTTGTTGTGATTGCCATTCTTCATGAATTAGCGTGTCTATATTATTTTTAATATTTTGAATAGCTGCTGCAAAATTTGATATGTTTATCTTAACCTTGAGAGCATCGAGCTGTCTACTCTGCAGTTATATCGCAGTATATCGCAATTTGGCATTATTTTGCTGAAGAAAAATAACCAGAAACAAAAATCTATCTTTCAAAATTTATCAACCCTTTAGTCTAATTAATAGTTTTTTTATCGAATTTTGTGTTCATAATTTCTTCGAGACATTTAATCACATCCTCTCTGTAAACATAAATGGTATTGACGCACTTCGATGTAAAATTCCATCGTGTAGGAGCATTTTAAAGCATACGACTCTGAAGAAAAGGTGTTTGGCAATTTAAAATTTCCCAGCGAAAAATTTCTCTTTTATATTTTCAAATTAGAAAAAATATTTATATCTCTATTTGATAGTTTGTCAACTAAGCCTGGAATTTTCAACGCATACCTTTTTGAGATAGAATTTGGTTATCCTTGCCAACAATTTGCGAAAATGTACACCATTAAATTATTTATAAGACTTAGAATTTTTTATACTCTTAAATATGTAAACAGAGATTTGAAATTCTCGAAAAAGTCAGACATAACCAGAAGAAAAATTAAAATTTTGTCTAATATATAAATATTATTGATTTTTTTGAGGTTTTGTTCATTATGCTTTTTACAAAACTATATTTCTTTATAATTTCTTCCTGGAGCATGACCCAGGTGTTCGGATCTCCACCTCTGGAAATGAAACACTTTCTTCTGATTACTCTGTTCCTAATCATTTAAATGATTGCCATTTTCGTCGCATTTTCTTAAATGTACATGTGTGATATTTAAAATCGCCTTCATAGTTATTATAATTGGTTTAAAAAATTGGGCCCTTTGGTTATGTTAATAATTCTACCTGATTTTATTCGTTTCTTAATATTCTAAATTTATATCCATAACAACACAGTTTATTTTCGATCTTTATAGTGGATAAAGGACTCTTGATATATACGTTGCCCTATTTCTTAATTTCTTAGTCGATGTCATTTTGTTTTACCTGCTATTCTACTCAAAGGCTTCACTTTCATTGCGGTAATTTTCGCTTGTATTTCTTGTAAGGAAAATAAATATTGATATTAGAGGGGGTTAAAAATAGGTTACGGTATAGGATATTGGACAGATGTATTAAGATAGAGCAAAGTTTTGTTTAATGTTCGACTCAACTTCAAACGAGTGATACTTGGAAATGTATTATTTAATTTACTTATTTTTAGAAACAATAATTCATTAAATGTGAACTACTTTTTTTAAATGAAAGGAAAAAATTATAATTTAGTCCATCTAGACGGGATTTGCACCACTCTCTGGCGGCATCCTTCAAAGGACTCTCGCTAAGGATAAGAACATTGTCGAGCAAGAAAGT